GATTAATTTGGTAGGACTGCAATTCACCTCATCCGGAAGTGTGCACCTACAGCAGGTCTCCAGAATAGCTCTTTATTGGTCATCTACTATACTAAGTCTCCCATGACTCTGATGGGGCAGATATAGATAGCTATGATACAGACGGTTAAAGTTAGGCACCAATAATGAAGGCAGGGCCTGAGGAAGCGCAAGTGAGGATACCTTGAGGACACGCTGAAGGAAGCGCAGAGGTGTTAGCTTCCCTTCTGAAAACTCATGGAAGATGTGTGAGATTCCAGAGAACTGTGGAGAAATGAACACAATGCTCATCCTTAAAAATGACCAATCCTGGAAAAATATTGGCATTAATAACACAAGAAATTGTTCATATAACAGCTCAGGGATAATTTAAAAAGCTGACAGCCAACATGTCAGAAATATAAAGCAATATAGTTTTTGTAACATGACAACAGGTCTCATAAATAGAGAAGAAGTAGGTCATGTAATATGTCTTAATTTTAGTAATACCATTGATTGGCTTACAACATTTTTATAAGCAAGTTAAGAAACAAAGTGAAGCTACTTTAGGGTGAGCACAAAACTAGCTGGAAAAAATAGTCTTTTAGATTAGATTACAATCATTAATTGTCAAACTCAAAATAAACTAATCAATGAGATTCTAGCTGGGTCTGCTCTGGGCTAGGTGCATTTTCATTAGTCACCTGAATACAGGAATGGTCCTTCAACCTTGTAGATAACTATAAGCCCAGACAAGCAGCAAACACATTGGATGATATGTTAAGTTCAGACTGTTCTTGACAAATAAGAGACATGGTCTGTAGGAGAAAAAAGGGTGCAATGCACTTGTGTTTACAAGTGTACATTCCTATGCAGGGTTGGCAATGATCAATTAGGCAGCCATTCTACCAAAAAGGGATAATAGGGATAGTAGTCAGTCACAAGCCATACAAGAGTAAGTAATATTACACTGCTCAAAAAAAAAAAAAAAAAACAAACCTTGCATATTACAAAGATAAGCAATTTTGTTTGTAAGATATATTAAGGAATCCTGTTATATTTTGGGCTAGCAAAGTGGCCAGCATCACTGTATACTGTTGCAAATAAAACAGTTTAGGGAGAAGGTAGACCAAGTGGAGAGAGTCCAGAGAAGATCATGGAAAATGGTCCAATGTCTGGAAAAACAAGAAAGAAATATTGAAAGAATTGGGGCTGCTCAGTCTACGGAAGAGAAGGCCAAGCAAAGACATGAAAATAATCATCTACATAAAAGCTACCTGTAAAGAGGTAGGGACTAAATTGTCTTATCTGTAGTGGATATGAGGTAATGGGCTTAAACTGTGACAATGGAGCTTATGGTATGTATGAGGAAGATGTTATTAACAATAAAGATAATTAAATACTTGTTCATTTCCTAGGTATGCTTGATCCTTTCTTGGAGCTTCAGAATGCATAAGATGACCTCTTTAGGTCTTTTCCAGCCTCATTTTCT